GCAATATTTTGCTCCCAAAACCGGAGTTTTGTAATCTTATTGTTCCTACATGTTATGAGAATTGCAAGACCCTGTTTGTTTGTAACTAATTTAACAGCTTTTGCTGGCTACTTTTTAAATTGTTTAGTTGTATGTCGTTCTGTCTTTTTCCTTTTGTTTTCACCCTTAGATGTTGATGTGCTAATTACTTATTGTAATGTACTAGTGTGGGTGGCTTGCACAACGCCTATGACTTGATCTGCATATCTGAAGGGGCTTTTCAAAATATTCATTTTTCCCACTTGCTTAACAAATTCTGGCACCACCTTCGTATTTCATGAAACGTACTTTAAACTTTAAAATGTTATCCCTAAATGTTCAAGGGATTCATTCTCTTGACAAAAGAGCCATTGTTTGTAACTTTTGAAACACTTTTGTGGGCGACAATCTCATATCAGCTTGACTACTACGTGTAATGTGTTTGTCAAAAAGGATTCTAGGGATGTTCCAAAGGTTGCTTGTATTCACTGTAGCCTTGAGATTCCAGTAACTCATGTCAGATAGCACTTGGGTGTCTGCTGCAAAGATGAGGAGTTGTAAGTACAATATGATTGTGTGATTAACATTAATAAAGATGAAATTTCCCTTAACGTTAACGCTACTTGTGCAAACATTGTAGTGATATGAATAAAAAAAGTAATTGCAAAGGCTAAGATTAAACAAATGGTAAAAGGAAGAGCATATACCATCTATATCTGCAGGTTACTGTCCTAAGCACTAAAAAAGCGGAAGAGTTGGCCAAGACCTAGTACAGCTCTGAGTGTTATGCAAATGTCCCAATTGCATCCATAATGTAATAGTGCACTGTTCTAGTACTTGCCATTATTCTTATAGTAAACCTGCGTGAAGTTATCTGAAATCCAACTGGGTGTCACTGTGTGACAATAAAGTTCCCTGATGCTAGTTTCATGCATGTACTTATAATATTACCTACACAAATACTGAGAAAAATCGGGAAAATTTCAACATTTGGCCCCTGGAGATTGCATGTGAAGAGTTTTTATCCTGGGGATAAGGGTTTTATGTCCTTCCTATATTTATTACCAAGAATACCATATTGGTGTGATGTTCATCATGAAGTTCATCATGAAGTTCATCATGAAGTTCACAATGTTACTTTGAAATTTCCAGCCCAAATTTAAGGCAGTTGAAATTCATTACATGCCCTATGCAACATGAGTTTAGGAGTACAAACAAATTAGACAATAGGGAAAACTGTGTCATGAACATCTATAGCCCATCAATCATTTATGTTATGTCACAATAACTAAGTGACTAATTACTTCACTTTCATTGTACAGTCAAGTCTGATTGATGAAAAACATTTGGTCAAATTTGGTCAAATTTGGTCAGTCGGATCAAATGCCAGTGAACCTCCAGATCTCAGAATTTATTGCAGGGAGACAACTACCGATGAGTCCACTCCCTTACACAAACATGGCAGAAAGCAAACCAACATTTAGACCTTACATCAACCTCCTGAAATTACAAATCCAACCATATCATGGCAATACCCTGGAATGGTTAACATTTTGGGATAGCTTTAATAATGCAGTGCACTACAATCCGATCTATATAACATCAACAAGATGAATTACCTAAAGTGCATGATAACTGGAGATTCAGCATGCACAATCTTGGGATTACCAATCATGTCACAAAACTACAATACAGCAATTAGAATGCTGCAAGAACGTTTTGGAAGAAAACAAGTTCTAATTAATGCACATATGGAATCACTGGAAGTTCAACAACTACGAAAGTCTTATGATAACTGCGAAAGAGGGAGTGCAAACAGACTGCTATGGAAGCTTGTTAATTCACATACTTCTCAAAAAACTGTCAAACGATTAACAATGCATAATTTTCAGGGCTAACCCAACAGCATTTAGTTCATTAAATGACCTGCAGTATAGTATGGCCAATTAGCTCAGGATACCACTCCATCAGTGTTGGCTACAGACAACATTCTCGTATCTACTGCTGGCACTTTACTCTACAAAAACCTCTCAACATCTATGAATAACCGGATTTAAAACCATGCATATACTGTGACAGTAAACACTGCCACAACAACTGTGATATAGTGAAAACAATAAAACAGAGGAAAATGAAACTAAATCAACAAAAGAGATGTTTCAATTGCCTCCGCTCAGGCCGCACAAAATACCAATGCCACTCAAGAAGAAGATGCCTTAATTGCAGATTAAAACACCATACTTCAATTTGTGAACCACGCCAACCAAGTCAAGATTCAAACAAAAAACCGACTGAAAAACAAGAAAACTCAACACAAAACAGCAAAGACATTTGGCCTACATCAACAACTCTAGCAACTGTGGCAACCACTCACACAAATGTGCTACTGCAAACTGCCATCATTACAGCAAGCGGCTCTACAACATGACATCAAGCACGCATCCTCATCGATACAGGATCACAGAAAACATTTATTACACAAGACTTGAGAAATAAACTGCAATTAAACCCAATCCAGAATGAGACAATAGACATAACCACTTTTGGAACAACCAAAAGTACTAAAAAGACGTAGGAGGTGGTAAAATTGACTTTAAACATGGTAAACGAGAACATTAAGATAATGGCTTTAGTCAGCCAATAATCTGCACACCACTTTCAAACCCCATACAACTTACCGAACTCCCCCCTGAATTTAAGGCCCGGTTCAAACGTCGAACTTTACATGTGCCGAACCTAATAATTAGGTTCGGCACATGTAAAGTTCGACGTTTGAATC